GGAAAGCGCCGAAGGTGACAAAAAGTAGGTTAAAGTTCACTGAAGGTGAAGAATGTCACACTGCCTTAGGGGGTGGCCGTCCGCTACGCTTCCACGTCTGCTACGCTTTCCACGTCTGCTAATGGTCCGAGACGACCCTCGCGGACCGGTTCTCCTTCCTCGCGGCCGTCTTCTCCTACGTCCTCCGGTACCTCCTCTGTCTTCCTCAAGCTGGGGTGGTAGTCGTAGCGGTGGGTTGGTGCCGTGACTTGTCGCGTGGGCCTCCTCCGTTCTCCTTCTCTTTGGTCGACTTCCGTTCCACCGCTGGACTATAAGCTTGAGGACCTCTTTTCTCCTTCTCCCTGTTAGTCCTTCTCCTCTGCCATGTCACTTTCTACACGTCTAAAGTTAAACCAAACCCCACTCTAATAAAGACCAAAGTGAATAAAGAAATAAAAAATTTGTCCTTAGACAATCCTTAGTGTCTTGTCGCTCGTACCCTTTATTCCATTCCCATAAAGACGTAAGACAGTAAGACACTAATCTTACGTAAATAACTGTAATGAAATAAACTAGTCTAGTCTTGTGCCCAAATAAGGTCCACCCCAAGTGTGTATGCTCCTAAACTGAACTCAGTAGGCCACGTCTGTATTTTATATTTGTTGTTGTAGAATTCCTGTGATTTATTTATATCAATTTATCGTTATTTCATTTCGTCATTGAAATGTCCACTTTACCTTTCGTCACTTAATATTTTTATACTTATACCTTATACACGTCATTCGTCATAAACTTGTAACACACGTAAGTACATTACACGGTAATATCCTACCACTAACTCCTCTTCCAACGTCGTTGTCTTCTCTCCTCCTCGTCGGGCTAAGTCCTTTCTTCTACGCTTCTCCTTCGACAAGGAGTACAGCGTTTCTCCTTCTTCTCTCGTTTCCTTTCTTCTCTTTCCCTCGTTTATCTCTTTCTTCTTTTCGACTCCTATCTTCGCCCCTTTCTGCTTTGGTCGCCTTTCGCTCCTTTGCGAGGTTCCCTTCCTACTCCTTCTTCTTCTCCCTTCTCCTCCCCTTTGTTGTTTTCTCTACGATTCGCTCCTCGCTCTTGTTTTGTCTCGTGTCCTCTTCCTTCTTTCTACTTCTTTCTTTTCCCTTTTTTGATTTTTGCTCTCACCTCGTTTTCTCTTTTCTTTTCTCCTCGCTCTTTGCGGTCTTTCTCAGACCTCCTCTCTCTACTTTTCCCTCCCTACCTGTTCGTCTTCTTCTTTCTCGAGCCTCTCTTCTTCTTCTTTCTTCTCCTCCTCTTCTCCTTTTTCCCTCGACTTCTCTTCTTCTTCTTTCTCCTCATCAAGTACTGTTGAAAATGTAGAAGCAAAAGTAAAGTAGCAAAATAAACTTGTTTCCTGTTAATTTACTTGTAAAGTTGTTACTTCGAGAAAATCCAGTCCCGGAGAATCCCGTTTCAACGGTGAGGGATACCAAACACAAAGATGTTTTGGTCGTCCTCCAATACGGGAGAAGTCGGGTATTAACACGTGCATAAACTCCGAATAACGAAGTGTCGATTTCAATGTTACAGAACATAATTGTTGTCACGGGACTAGCCGACCAACAAAAAATGGCAAGTCAGAAGGTAGAAATTCGAGGAAGTAGCAAAATAAACTGTTCCTTAAGTGTAATTTGGACTTGTGAATCGATGTTTAGTACGAAGTTCACATAGATACGGCCTAACAATTCGAACTCGCATTAAAAGGTGAGACGTCAGGGAGCGTGATGTGGTTATATCTGCTACTCGTAAATAATTTCTACGTTTTATTTAAAGGTACTCATCGTTTTTCCAGGTTCTCGTCCGGTAGGTTAATAAACTACGTACCGTCATGTTATACGTCGTGCTGTTAACGTCTCCCCTACCTGGATGGTATCTAGCTATCATCTACATCTTCTCTCTATGTCCTCTATGTAATTCACGCTCCCTATGGGGGACAACAATTCACGAAACGCCACTAACGTGCAGACAAACAAAGAGTGTAAGAAACCAATGGAACTTCGAAACTCTACACCCTGAGGGATAGAGTCAACCCTCATAAGGTCCTTACTCGACGGGAATTCCTGTAAAACAGGTTTTCACAGCAGACCGTCCCTGAAAGGGTCGAGAGAGACCAAGACAGGACCACGTCGCAGGTCCACCAAAAAAACACCGTACTAAGGGATTCCCTCCCCCCCCCCCCCCCGTCAGGTACATGTGAAATCTTTTGTGTATGAAAATTTTCGACCCACTCTTCACACAGCTTAGCAGACTTCTCTACCACAAGCCACTGAACTACTTACGGACCTGACCAACCATTCCGACAATTCAAGGACAAACCGGATGCTTCCAGGGGTTTCCACACGCTGTGCACTTTCCTCATACCTGCTATACACAAAGAACCAATGAGAAGCACAGAACTAACTAGGGATGCCAGCGATTATTCGAATATTCGTTACAGTCTCCATAATCGAAAATTATTTTTAAAATTCGATTTTATTTATATATTTTTTTATTATTATTCATTCCTGGCTTAGTTTCAACCGAAATATAGACTAATGCTAATAATAGTAATAGTATTAATAATTGTAAATGGCCATGCTTTTATCCAAAGCGACTTACATACTCAATACTGTGGGCAATCCCCACAGGAGCAATTTGGGGTGAAGTGTCTTGCCCAGGGACACAACGACATGCTGACTGCAGTGGGGTTTGAACCTGTGACAAATTTGAGTCTAAAAATCCAGATTTGTATCAAATGTTCTGTCTTATCAAGTGTACCCACTTGCCAAGTCAATGATTGGATATTAATATTTTCTGTCTTGACTCTAAAGCTGTTCATTTGTCAGAGTTTGTTGAGCATCATGGAAATAATAAATAATATTGAATAATGAATGGGTATCTAGAACACAATATATTGATTAACTATATTCTGTATACAAATCTAAATCGGCAAAGGAATTCAAGTTATAAAGTAAATAAACAACATTTGTGTAAACATGTAGTGGAGTAGAAATGTGAAGTAGCCTAAACATTAATGATTCAAGTAAAGTACAAATGACTTAAAATTGTACTTAAGTATCACTTTAATAAAGTTAAAATCATTTCATCAGGCTGCTACTTTCACCACTGCACTAAGCAGCTTTTGTTTGTACTGATGGATGCTTAGTTTAGCACGGCTAGCTAGCAACGCTGTTGTGTACCAGTGTGTACAGCTAACGTAGCGTAGCAGCAGCAGATCTGTCAAAGCTGCAGTGTAATGGTCAACAGATTAACTGAAAGCAAAATGTCAATGTATTACTAAAAAGTCAAGTGGCATAGTTTAGCTTTAACAGCCACACCAAAGTGTTGGGATATATTTCTGCCAAGTAAGTCCTTTATAACAGGCTCTCGGCTCTGAACATAGCTGAGGATAATCAAGTACAGAGGGCAGCAACCTGTAAATCCACCCAGCTCAGAGGCAGAAATCTCCACCCAGCAACACCTCTCTCCTGTCCAACAGAAAATATCCTGCTATGTTTTAGAGTTTGATAACTGCCTTATAAATGTTGCCTTTATTTTTCCTGGTTCGTCACACTACACAGTTTAAATACACTTTCTGTCCCTCATCTGCTTTCTACCCAGGACATTTGTCCACATATCAGGCTACCTGTTAGTGTCGATCACTTCAGGGCCTCCCGACTCCTCTGACTCCTTCGTCCCCTTCTTCCTCTCCTCTCTCGCTCGTCTTCTTTGCTCCCGAGCTTCCTCCTCATCATCATCATTAGCGCAATCCGGCCTGAAATATCACATTTATATATCTTTTTCCTCTTAAATTAAACAACTGAAATGGGAGTTTTGAGAGAATAATAATAATTGTTGGTAAATATTGAATTATTCCTTTTTAAGTAGCCTAGTAAAGTTCTAGAGTTTATATCAAATTGATTAAATGGCTTGTAAAATATGTCGTTAGTAGGCGATGGGAAATCTGCTGGTGTTATGATGTTTGTGTGACATTTAAGTCAGATCATTAATTTTAAGATTTTCTAGTCCTGAGCAGCTAAAAGTATCTATTATTCAACAAGAAAAAGGAAAAAATATATACACATGACTTTGTGAAAGAGACTATTGAAAACTCAAATTTAGGTTCGGAAGCACTGATATGAACAACACTGTCCTTACCTCATAAGACATGTGCCAGAGTTCANTGTCTCTGTCTCTGATTACATGTCTTTCTTAAATTAATAAATGCCAAGGTGGTCATTACTTTTGAGAGCTCTCACTTTTTTGGAGGTGACATATTGAACTCTGGCACATGTCTTATGAGGTAAGGACAGTGTTGTTCATATCAGTGCTTCCGAACCTAAATTTGAGTTTTCAATAGTCTTTAAGAAAGACATGTAATCAGAGACAGAGACAGTACTGGCAAATAAAGGTTGATGATGACAAAATCACCAATATTAGACAAAGAAGTCTTTACCTTCCTGTCATCTTCTTTAAATCCTCCTCATGTGCTCATCCTGCCATTGACCTTCCTCAAACTGTGATCAGACCCACAGTGAGATTTCCTCATAAAGCATTGCCAGGCTTTATGAGGCATGGAAAGAGTGTAAAATGGCCCATTGATAGAGCATGGGTATTATTCCCCTCTGCTCTTCCTCAATCCACAACACAATGATTTACAGATGTTGTTGGAGGGAGAGGTGATGAGAAACACAAGAGTCCTTTCTGTCTTTCAAACAGAACCCAACGAGGCAAAAATCCAACAAATCCCCAGGCAATGGTTTTCCTGGCATTGCATGGGTGATCCCTGCAAACCATTGAGGAAGTAATTTAAATAGATATTACTCCACCTAAAGCTGGAGGCCTGCTGCGAGAGTGCCGTCAAAATAATGCAGTCACTTTTCGTGACACAAATGGTTTGGACTGATATAATGACAGCTTCTTGGCTAAAACCTTTACTCTCTGTAACTTTGAGTCTGAAGTTTTCAGAATATCTCAAGCTGAAAAAAAAATGGCATTGAAAACATTCCAGTGTCTGCAGCATTTCCTCGAGCAGCCGGGTTGGCACTGCTGGCAGAGCTGGCTGCAGGACTGTGAGAAAATGGCAAGGAACGCCTTATTTTCCACTGCAGCTCTGATAGGACATTTGATAAGACAGCAAGTGACTTCTGAACGGCTAGAAAAGAATGTTACTTGAATCCCTTAAAAGTCGAAAAATGTAGGATATTCTTTATTTAAAAATTGAATCCAATTACAGGACTAAACCAACGATGTGTTAGTCCGTCTCTCAATTAAAAAGGTTCATGAAAATAGTATTATTTCAAACAAAAAGGATAATTGAGTTCCTGACAGGTACTGTACCAAAACGTGTTAATATGAAACCTTTAATTGTATTTGGGGAAACTTTTAAAAACACACAGATTGAGTTTTCCTCATGTACCTGCATTCTTTTAGAGTTTCATATATTTGCAGGTCATTTTCCTTGTGTTCTTAATTTCTTATGCGTTTATTAGATACTCTTAACAGAGTCAAACCTACAAATTTACACCCACAGAGTGGAGATCGGCAATAACTCTGTTTCGGTACTTAACGAAACAGAGTTCTCAGAATATTGAATATTTCTCGGAGAGAGAGGGAGGGAGACAGCGGGAAGTGTCAAACAGCAGCCTGGCTCTGATGAATGAAAAGGCAAGGGAGATCATTAAGGCGTCATCGCCCAATCAATCCTGTCTGCTACGCTCTGCTGCATGTGGAGACATACAGGCACCCTCCCTCATGCAGAAATGCGGAACTCAACAACAAACGGTAAGCCTCAATCTATCTCCTTGACTTTGCATGATTAGAGGAAAAAGTTCTGAAGTATTTTGAATCTCTTAACCAATTTACTGAAGCCGCAAATGTATCAGGTTTAAGTCAGACTGCCAAAATCTGATGAGGCTTAATTCAAGATGTTGAGTTTTTTTTGTTTCAGTTTGCATGTCTAGTATTAATGTGTACTTTTGTATGTTTTTATTTTCACAAAATTCACTTTTAGATGGATAACTCACTTGTCGGTCTCAACGCGCATCTGCTCCCTCCTCTGCCTCCTCAGCTCCATGCGGCGGTCAAAGTCATCGTCCATGATGCCAAGAAGATTATCTTCACTTTCTCACTGAAAGACACATTTACGATATCATGGGTGATGAATTTGGGACAATCTGACTGTCAAAAAATCAGTCATCAATTGATTTATTTTGCAATCATGATAATCATCAAGAAGAAAGACATGCCTGAAAGTTGATGCATATGGCAATTCTTTTGTATATTGGGATTCAACAACAATTAGATGAATCTCAGTTCATATCATGGTCATTTCACAGCTTCAATTTGAAGAAACAAACCCTCAAGATAAAGAAAAACCATGCTGAAGTCATCTCAAAATCAGTGACACATCACAGGATAGGGGACCACCCAAGACAACTTTATGACATGGGCAGAAAAACATGAAACACTACAGTGCCTGCTGTTGGTCTACCTTAGCAGTAGCTGGAGTTTAGTCCGTGAACAGCGGTGTCTCCCCTCTCGTCATATATCAACATACAGTCTGGATTATATCTCAGCCCTTTTGAAGCACAAAGAATTCCTGCTTGCTCTTACAGCGACTTTAACTACCAGAAAAGGAAACGCCTGCCTCACTGCTCCCCTCTGTTTCTCTCTCAGCCTCCCTCCTCCTGCTCTCTCCCACTTTCCCCTCCCTGATCTCTAACTTCAGACTCTCTCAAACGGTTTCCCTTGTTTCATCCTGCTTCTCTCTTTATGTCTGATGTACTGAAGGGTTGTTTGCCACCAAATGTGAAATCCATAATTGATCTTACATGAACCGATAAACCATTCAAGCACCTGTCCGTTTAGGTTCTCGTAACCACAGGTCAAAAATCATTTGATTTAATTCAAGTTTTCGAAGTAGACATATGTAAAGATAGCTCTGCTGTCTTACTGAGCAAAGACTGACAACTGATAGAAAAAGATGATAGGTGAATTTTAACAACATTTTGAAATTAATTATTGGTTTGAGTTGTGTTTGTCTCATCCTTTTATTTACAGTATTTGTCTTGATCAATAAATAAACAAACTAACTAACCTTCTAATTCGAGATTGAGGCCCATGTTTCCATGTGGCAGGCAGCTAAATTCAAAAGACAGCTTTATTTGAATTGTAGAGGCTGGACCGATATGATAGCCCCAATCATTCATGAAAAGTGACCCCTTAACTCTGTGTACTATTGTTTAGTGGGGGTCTCCTGAAATTCCAGGACATCCCTCTGACATCAGACAGGACAAACTGTGCGCATTGAAAATATCAATTAAGGCTTCCAAAGTGTATTTATTTCACTGTACATCTACACCAATCAATCTACAATTCAAAGCCTTTAAGTAGTGTTCATCTGTATTTATGCCTGCACTGGTAGGAGTTATATTCCCAGTTGATTTAAGAAAGACCATAAAATCCTAGAGTCACTGTCCTAAAAACTGTTTTTGGCTCACATTTATCATCAGTGTGTTTTCTCTCTTCACTTTAGTGCACCATACATGCCATATTTATGTCCCGAGCACTTACACATGCGATAATATGTAACATATACAGTGTCATAAGGCAGGACACTTAGGTATAATCCATTTGTATCTTCAGATCTGAAGAGGAGCCTATCAGCAGTGAGCAGTCGGTCATTCGTTTAGGTTTTACATTGGCCGGCACCATATACAGTCAAAAGGCTTACAAGCAGAATGGACCATAAGAGGCCTTTTCCAAAACATCTACTACATGGGTAACAAGACAGTTCAGAGCTTTCCTGGAAAAGGATGACACTCTTTTACACAAATGCACCCTACAGGACTCATCATTGCAAACTGTATAGCCTAACTGGATGGTCCTCACTTACTATACGTAGGATGCAGCATTGGTTTTTAATAATGTATAAAGTCATTTTATAAGCTTCCACTGTACATATGTGCCAGATTTGCTCCAGTTTGTGACTCTTACAACCTCAGATCCAGTGCCTGGATACGGTAAAAGGTAGGCTACCTGCCGTGCGGACTGAGGCTGGAAAAAGGAGTCTTTTTTATTATGGTCCTTGGTCTTGGAATGACCTTCAATCACGCCTCAAACTGAGGGCACTTGTCTCAATAGCATGTTTTAAATTGAAGTTGTCTGAGGTCCTTACCACCAGCTGCTCTTGCAGTAATAAGTAGTGTACCTTTCTTACCGTCCGTAATGTGCACAATGTAGTGACTGCTTTTCATCTTTTGTTTTCTTAGTTATGTTCTCTGTATTTTATATGTTTGTGTTATGTGTTATGTGTAACGTTGCTGCCTTCTTGGCCAGGTCAGCATTGTAAATGAGATTTTATCTCAATGCTTTTTTATCTGGTTAAATAAATTTAAAAAACACATATTTTCTCTGGAAAACAGGAGAGTGATTTATCAAAACTCATATAATCAAAGGTTTGGTGAGGTTGTTGTTAAATCAAATAATGATAATGATCTGTTATGTCCAGGAACGGAGATTTATAACTACTGAATTGATTAGCATGACATTTGGTTGATAATTCTGGGTCCAGAGAATAGGTTTTTGTGAGACTGTCTAGTGTCTACTGTCTACTTGAACATCTTTTAGTACAGTTGTAATACAAATATTGTGATATGAACATTGATGGTTGCAAGACACTGATCTCATATGTTTGTGTTGTGCCTGACTTAAGGCCACATTAACATTGTTGGTTTGATTGCTTTGAAATTTGGTATTCAGTCAAATGCAAAAAAACAACAACATAAAATCACTCAGTTTGTGGTCTCAGAATTACATTTCTGCCTTCTTACAATCAGAATTGTAAGAACATTATTGGTGTGTACAATGTGTTGTGGCAGCTTAGACCTATTTGCAGGCGAGATGCAGGTGTTAAAAACAGCTCTCCCCCTCCTCCCCTCACATCCCTCATCATTTCACAAAGTGTCCGTCAAAGCGAAGGTAGAGGAAGTATTCCAGCTATGTGATCTCTGTTCGCCTTTACAGCAGAGAAACAGCAAGTCAACCAGTCAACTATCAAGTCAAGGGCAGCGTGTGGCCCCTTATGTGTGGCCCCTAATAACAGACATTGGCAACTAGAATGCCCCATCACAATTCATCAGTAACTCTTTATATAACGGTCTTTAAATAAGGGGTAAATAGATATTAGGGCCTGTATAACTCCTTATAAATCCTAATCTTCCTACAAAAAGTAATGTATACTTATTTGTATAAATTGCTTTTAAATAAGACTATAAAAGTTTTAATTACAGGATCATAAACACATTCATGGTTTATTGTTATAAGGCCTTTTTAAACACTTGCAATAAACTAGTTCATATTTTATATACTCCTTAACAGTTTAAAAAGGCTTGTGTTTATAATAGTTACACACTCATTTACAAAGTTTAACTAACTCATCTAGTCTGTTATTGTTAAACCTTTACTATCCATTTTTTTCTCCTTTTTTTAGGTTAATAAAACCTTTCATAATGCACCTATTAACATATGCTTTCTGCAGCTGCTGGATATAAAATGAGGACAATGCCTAAAGTTTGTATAAAAAGGACATGGATATAAAACATTACCCATAATTGGTCTCTCAGTCAAACACGAGACATACTGGTATCCATCACTGCCTCTCTTCTGTTGGGACCAATTAATGACAAAGGCTGGTCTGTTCCTGAGCAATATGCACTCTGTGGAGCCGACCTGCAGGCTAACAGCTCACAGACATGTCAGAGCCGTGATCCAGGCCTGTTTGGATTGGCCCGGCTCCAGCAGTGCCGGCGAATTTCTGTATTTCTAAAGTTAAAAAACTCACCACTCTGGCAGCTATAGACAAATACCTCTCTCCCTTCCACTTTGTTCATAAACGTGGATACACACAAAGAGACACACACTGAATTATAATCACTTCAACACTACAGCTGTCACATCAGTCACCAGGCAGCTTATTTGTATAGATTAGAGGTGTGTGAATTATTCATGCACTGATATAATCCAAATGTAAAAGCATAGCCCCCCTTTTAATTTAGACAGAAATGTCTGCCTGCACCCACTCGGGGCACAGAAAAAGCACTTCAATGGTCCAAAGCTCCAGCTCAAGATGCTATCTCGTTATATATGTATTTGCACAGCGTGGTATAGGTTGTTAGGGTCTTGTTGGAATCATGTTCACAAGTCATTCCTACATGACTGATGCCGAGGACAGTTTTTCATTCACACGTCTGTAACGGATTTGTCTCATCTGGGTAAGCTGTCGCTTCTGATGGCATCAAAAGTTTGTTCAGCACTTTTTTTTATTAAAATGTAATATCTCTCCTGCTCTCATGCAACTGGAAACTTGTCATTGGCTTATTGATGAACAGTTCTGCCCAGACACTATTTATCAATATTACAGTTTTTTTCAGTTGCTAACACACTAAAACCTCACATAAAGCACAATTATTTAAACTCACACTCAAAGAGCAAAACCTCAGCTCAAATCTCCACAACTCTTACATGAAGATTAGACCTGGAGTACGTTCAAGAGCAATAATCTGGTTCTGGCCACGGCTGCAAAGTCAAAAAAGCTGATTTAAGGGAGTCTACTGAAAGCAAGTCTCTGATATATTTAGGGAGATCGAATACCAAATATATGATGTGTTATATAATGTGATGTCTGTCATTTGAAAGATCAAAAACAGTTCAATGACTCATATGATAGTCGTTGATTTATGAACCATATTTTGTACAATACTCAAGTTAACTAGATGACGCATCATTTGTGTTTATAGGAAAGGCTCTAAAAAATAAACAGTTTACTTTTCGGGGAACTCAACACCAGTGTTATCCATTAAAAGTATTTCATTTAAAGTAAGGCCACATTTGAGTCATTTGTTTCTGAAGCCATCAGAAAGATTTAGACTGAGAATTCCTCAAGTGGTCCACTAAAGGTTGTAATAAGTATAATACGACATTAGCGGTCTTTTGTAAGCCATTCAAAAGTTAAAAGCCTCCTACTCAAAGCCCCATCATTACATCAATTGCATGGCACTTCGTTGTGTCTTTATTCGTCCCAGCATTGTGTACACACCATGTGCTTTTTGTATATTGTGTGGCCATGTAATTACTGGCTCGATGATGGCGTCCTTTCTGAATGTTTCTCATTGTATTAATCAGACATCAAAAAAGAAGAACGATGAAAGCTTTATGTTCTGTTAAAGACCGTTTCTAATGCATTTACATTTGATTTGACACGGTGCAGGCCTCACATCTTCTATCAGGAAATGTCTAGGAAATAAATGGCAGCTCGATATTAAAACTGAACAGCTGTCTCTTTCTCTATCTTGAAACAATTACAATACAAAAAGAAATGATCAAATGTATATATATATATTCACTTTTTTTGCATCTGCCTCCAGACTGCCTGACTAGATTAAAAGATTGATACCACCCAGGTTTTTACAATAAATACTAAACTACCATCAGCAGATGATTAGCTTAGCACTTGAACTGGTAACATGCCTTAAGGTCACAAGATCCACCCAACAGCTAGAGCTCACTGACACGTTTTATATTGTTTGTTAATTAAAGTGTAACATTAATATATTGCCCTTTTACAAGGGATTATACGCCAGACTATTTATTGGGTAGTACCAGTCTCTTGAAGCCTCCGTTCCAGATCCTGACCTCTTGAAGTGTCATGTGTTTAATTTAAAAGGACAATACAAGTATTTAGTTAAATAAAGCATGTGTGACTCCATCATAATCAATCATTTGTTCTCAGATACAGTTTACAAAATGTTCAAATTGATTCCAGTAAAGATTTCAAAGGCCAACAGCTGTCTTTAAGTTTTAATGGGAGTGTTTCACCAGCTGTAGGTACATAGCGTAATGAGAGTAACATATGAACATGTTCTGTACATTATTTGACCTTTGAAGTAATACTGGTTAGTTGTAAAGGCATTGCTTCTTGCACTGATAACAGCATTAGCTAATGGTAGAAAATATACATGTAGGTCGTCACGTCAGACATCTACTGCCTAAAATCACACAAGGTTCTTGTGGAACATAAAGAAAGTGCTTCAACACGCTAATAGATAAACAGTTTCCTGAGAGGCGTTTGCAATCAATCAAAAAGCCACAGCTGCTTTCTCCACATGACCAAACATGGTCACGTATGAAAAAGACCCTGTCCAGGATACAAATTCCACAGTTTACAAGCCACAGCATACTGTAGTGGTGACCTTTTCAGCAGCTCATTACAATGTTTGTGTACAGTTTGTTTGAAAAAGAGGGTGTGTTGTTTTGTGGTCCATGACCAATTGACTGGAAAAGTGGAGATTTGGTATCACGTTATGGTCTCTATGCAGAGATAACAGGACTCACTGTGCAGCTCAGCTTCGTATTAGGAAGCAACCAGTCCATCAACAGCTGACAGGTGTACCTTGCTTGCTTTATTTAGTCAATTAGACCAACATAAGAGTCTGGTCTGAAATCAAGTGTAGTGCCATAGGGGGCTAAAATTAATCCAATTTCAAAGCTAAGTCTAAGTCTAAGTTAAATCCTCTACTGGGGACTCAATGGAAATAGATGCAGCTATGTGCACTCCCTGTTCTGCATCCCATCAGCTGAGATGGTGTACTCGGCCTCCTTTTAAGGAAGTACACAGGCAGTGTTAGTTGTAGTGTCCCTGCTTGGCAAGGTGCGAGGCCACGGACAGTGAGCATGGTTTACTGTAGGAAATACCTGCTGCTAAACAAAGTGGTAATCCAAGAATAACTTGTTTCCATTGTGATTTCTAATAATCATCTTTCCATTATGCTTCTGGGAGACAGAAAGAACCATGCTGTCGATATAAGGAAAGTGACTATGGCTTTTGCATTTTGTATTACAATAGGGTTTGCACAGTGGAATAGTAGAATAGGAACTGCTTGACATTTAAACAAATAAACACAACCTTCTAAATCATTCAAGTTGATGTAAGGAATGTTGTTTCTCCTCACATCGATGTAGATTTGATGACAGACTGATGAATGCCTCCATTAATGTCAGAGCCACTAACACTCACCTCCTGTAATTTACTCTGGGGAAAAACTATTTCCTCTCCTATTGAGATTGTCCCACCTGTAAAACTAAAGAGCGGACAGCCCCCCTCTTTATCAAATCACAACGCTTTTAAGCCACAAAGACTCAATTGTACTCAGACTAAAAACATTATAGCAGCCAAATCTATGTTTATTTGTTCCTCCTCTGGACAATTTTAACAAATACAGTTGAACTCCAACTGTTTAAAAAGCAGACATTAGTGTGTGCAAGATGCAGCCGTTTAAATTGGGAACATAACTTATCCACAGTCAAATATGTCAGTACTGTTGTTGTAAGGCTGTGTGTTACTATGTACACTTGAAATCTCTCATAAATACTATTTCACTGTAAATTTACAGCTGTTTTCACTCTCACGGCACAAACAATTATCTTGATTCCATGTACCCAAAAAGAGAGAGGATGCTCTGGAAACCCAAACACATTTCCAGTCCCCAAAGAGTCTGCGGTCATAAACTCACACACTGAGGTTGAGGCCTTTATCTTCAATACCATCTAAGGAATAGGAGTCTGACTTGGCATGTCTACCACGCCAAACAGCTTTCCACAACTCGAGGTCTGCTCAATGTTTGAGTAACAGAAAACTGGAGATCAGAAGGTCAAATTATAGTATTTACTGCTGTGTTGGACAGAGCAGATACAAGTGCTGAGCCTCAAGGATACAGATTGCAGAGGCATATGCCAACAAAATGCATGAACATATTTCAGTTTACACAGTCCTCCAAATCGTATCTCTCTTCAGAGATATACTCACTGATGCTAGCTTTATATTTCCCAAGAATCTCTTCACGAAGGAGCTGAACGCCACTCCATTTATTTCTATTATTGCAATCAATCAAGTTTGGCATTTTTTGCACCAGACTGTGAATGTTTGGTTAAAAGAGTTACATCCAAAGAACAGTTGCAATGTTCTCATGGGACAGTATTTTTGGTAAATTATACAGGAAAAAAACTATTTTCAGCTTTGTCTTCAGTGTTTATAGCTATTTTCATAAAACAAACATGTTCATGCCATGATGCCAGCTGTTTCTATGACTGATGGTGACGTTTCTCAAGCCAGTGCACACATTTGAATAAAGGAGACATTTCAACATTGTCTTTAGTCCTTTAACATCTCTAATTGTTCTCCAATAAATGTATGTATTTGAGATTCACAATATGTAGGTTTTATGAGTGATTTACTTACTGCTTGGGTCAACTTGAGTTTCCTTTGAATCAAGCTTAAATCCCATGTAAAATATGTTTCCCTTCCTTATTGTCAGGTTTATTCAGAGCAGCTGTTCCTGATATAATCCAGCTAGTTACATTTAAAAGTTGTTAACAAGCCATGCACCTCCCTCGTCAAGATTTTAGTCACAGCAATTAACTCTCATCACATATCTCTGATTCGTTAGGCACTCAAAGTAAACAAAATGAACTCTCTTTTTCTGCATCACACATTATCATCATCACACTTACCAGGTTGATCGACCGAAGGGACTGTTCTCGCTGGAAATCAGCTGAGGGAGAGCAGCCAGAGGTTTATAAGCACAGCATGCAGCTCCGCCTGCTGCAGCTGCACCGGGGGCTGGTGTGTGTGTGTGTGTGTGTGTGTGTGTGTGTGTGTGTGTGTGTGTGTGTGTGTGTACACAGTTTAATTTAATGGATGTCTTTCAAATGTAATGATAATGATTCCTCTCGTTTCTACACAATTGACTGAATCTGATGATTTGATCTTAGTCTTTTTGACATAATTATAAACGTTGTGTTTGGGGGTTTCTTTTCTACATTTGACTCTTATATGTATGTTGTTTTATAATATACAGTCTTTGGGTTTTATGATGTGCATGTCTGTGGGGCCTTTTGTCGTATATATACTTATTGCCCTGCGTTGTTGTTTTTCTTACTACTGCTGACAAATTGCCAGAGACAAATAAAGATTGGACATAAACATCTGCAGCACTAAATAACTGCATATAACTCACATGTTTCAGAATCATTAACAACATTGTCCTTAATATATAAAACCCATATCAATGTCAAAGCTATTCATTAGTCCTCCTTGCTGGTGTGAATACAACATGTAATGTCCATCAGGATACATCATCGCCTCAACAACAAGTTGGATGGAACTTTATTTATTGCCTTGGGGAAATTCAGGAAAGATAGACGGATGGGAATGAGAATCATGGTGATCTCGGTGTTCATCTAAGAACTTTTCCATCCAATTAGAGGGTTTCTGCCTGGCTCATCAATATTGGTTTGGCCAAATTATAGAAATGGTTAAGAAATAAGGAGCCACTCCTCAGACTCAGCTGTTTATTGTTTCCAGTGGGCACAAGGCGACCACAATCCAAATTGCAGGCATATCTGTATCTTCCCAAACAGCATGGTTGTTTGTTTTCTAATTAATTGTATTGCTCCTAACACAACTTACTGTATGTGTCAGTGTAACATTTAACACACCTTCCTGGTGAGTAAGAAAAAACCATCTGATAAAAATTAAGCTTATAAATGAGACAATAATCTTTTTAGGAAAATTGGAATTCCCTTTTATTTCAATTTCACATAGTAAGGTGTGAACAGCGGGGAAGACGATCAATTGTCTTACATGAAATTACAAATATAACAGTGTTATCCTTTTAGTATCTACAAATGTATGTTCGTATCTCTTCTCCCATGTTGACCTTACGGACCAGTGTACAAAAAATAACAGGAAAACAAAAACAGAAGTGATGCACAGTGCATTTCACATACAGACAGGAGACAAAACAAGGAAGTAGCATCGTAACATGAGATGACAAAAATGATATTATGTTATAATACACAATGTGCAGACTCAAGAGGGGTTTGTAACGTTTTTTCACATGTTAACATCACATTAGAACATCAATGTATTATAATAAGTTATAATTGAAAGTTAAAACCAAAATAGTGCCTGTATATAACAATTACAAATCTTTAAAATGTATCCAAACAAATGCTACTCACCATTCACATTTGTTGCATTTAATCTGGAAGGGGATTCATTTAAGAAAATGTAAAAAGCCTAAAGGATATTCCAGTTTTCACACCAAAAAGCACCAGTGATTTCCACTCAGCCTATTTTCTGTACTTTATAAACCCTCAAAGTAAAACAACTTGAGCTGTGTAGCTTAAACTTACTGTGTAGTCAAGTTAAAAATATAAGTAACTCATATGCGGGGGACAGAAATGGATTTCAGTGGTTTTGCATATTTTCAGCATTTCTGTGGCTCACTTTAACCAAAATATTTGAAATAAGATACTGGCTTTCAATTTCTATGAGGTCATATCTGGCAACAGAGTGCTTTAAATCTTATATCAACAGAAGACCTGTATGATCCCCTTATTAAAAGAAGTTGTGTCGAACAATAGCTGATTCTTAGCATTACATTAATACTGAAGGCAAATGTTTTAATGCAAGTCAATGTCCCTAAAGCTTATCAATGTAACAGAAAGGCATTTTTTAGAAAGTCATTTTTCTGGATATGATATAGTTCAAGTTTTTCAGCTTCACCAAATTACTATTAATCTTTATGGTAAGATCAATAAGCAAATAAATAAATAACCTCTTCAGGGACAATATACAGGCATAGGAACATCTAGCTTAAATTCAGTGTGTACACACAATACAACTCAGCCCAGCATCAAAGCATTTACAGTACACAGTACAGAACTCCCTCCTGCTCCTGTCGTACCTGTCTGACCTGTGACACATTCTCTGTACCCAGATCAGGCCACTATTACACGTACAGCATTTTCACACCTATCCTTTGAAAGTTGTTTTAGTTATTGTCTGATGTTATATTATTATTATTTTAGTCTTTTCACAGTACCTGTTGACCTAATAAGAGTGCACACAGGCGAGCAGAACAGAGCTGCAGCCAGTTCAGTGCATTCAAGTTGACGGTATAGCTTTCCCCTGGTCCTCCACCTTTTTAATTGCCGCCTGAATCTTCACTTGATCTCCCAGCAGCTGTCGAGGTTTCACAGCCTTCAGGTTTTCATCCAGCTCGAGCAGCACAGGTATACCAGTAGGTAAAGTCACGCTGGCAATATCTTTATCTGATATACCTGTTGAAGTAAGAAGAAGAATATTAATAACACACTAGAAAAACAAGTCAAAACTTTGGATGGTATGATCAATTCAAAACAATTGTTGTGATTTTCCATTGTCAGATAATCCGGAATATCAAAATGACTACAAAAGCTCTCTAAAAAGCAATCATTGAAGCGTAAAAAACGTGTTAAAAATTGAATATAATTTAAGAAATACAAAGATTTTCATGTAAGAAAGAACAGATTTACAACATGTTGCTATTCATTCAATGTATTTATACTTTAAATGCATAGGGACCCTATACTGTATGATTACCTTATATACACAATGTTTCACATGTGTAATGCAATAAGAAATATGTGTTTCTTAACTAAATCTAATGTAACGGTATTTGATTGTATTTTAGTGCCAAAAAAAAAGTTTTTAATAATTGATGATAAAGGGGATGATTGTGAAATGTAATTATTTTCAGCCAGATAACTGTGAAATTACATTTTTATATCTTCCCATGCCTGGCCAATAATGAATTAAAGCCGTAATAAAGTAAGGAGTGTACTGTGGCCTCAGCGGCTTATGGGTGTGGTGAAAGGTCAGCATGGACTTAATAGCCACAGCCAAATGTAACATAAACTCACTGGCCTTTTTACACAAGTTCAACTTTCCATTTGGGGAATTGAAGTCCCTTCACAATTCAATGAGCGACAACTAAAAAAAGGCAGCCTGTAGAGTCCAGAAACTGTTGTGGAATTCAACTAAATGCATTCACTGCACACACTCAACACAAGCGCTTAGAGAGCATTGTTTATAATAGCAGCATACCTTCCAGGTGTTTCAGCAGAGCCCTGCAGCTGTTTCCATGAGCGGAAATGAGCACAGTCCTGCCTTGCTTTATCTCTGGCACCACAGTGCTGTCCCAGTATGGAAGCAGCCGGTCCAACACCTCCTTCAGGCTCTCTGCCCTGGGAAGGTTTTCCTTTGGCACGTCACAAGTGGTGTATCTGCGGTCATTGTAGATTTCCAGGAAGTAAGGGTGGGATTCCTCAATTGGAGGTGGAGTGACGTTGTAGCTTCTTCTCCATACCTTCACCTGTTCCTCTCCATGTTCTTTAGCCATCTCTGCCCGGTTCAGGCCAATGAGGGAACCATAGTGCCGCTCATTCAGTCTCCAGGACTTGATCACAGGAACCCACTCCTGACCCATAGCCTCCAGAACAAGCCATGCTGTCTGGATGGAGCGGCTGAGTAGGGAGGTGAATACTAAGTCGAACTTGTAGCCCTGTTCCTTCAGCAGCCTGCCACAGTCCTTGGCCTCCTTCAGCCCATCCTCGCTCAGCTTCTGGTCAACCCAGCTGCAGAACCGGTTCTCTTTGTTCCAGGCCCCCTCCCCATGCCTCAGCAGAAACAGTTTGTACTTGGACATCCGAAGCACCTCCAGCAGAAGCCTGCACACATTTAGTAAAACATTATCAAAACAGTTTTGCAGTTGGTGATAACACAAGTGAACATATATTAATACAATACATCAAATCTCCAGCTAACCTCACATAAAGTCACAGGTCTGTGTGTCTAATATGAAACCAGCAGAAGGTACTTTAGAGACAGTGCCAGCAAAAGGTTAGAGGTTGTCTTAAAAGGGTAACAGGCTAATGGCAGATAGCTAACCTTACAGTAGCTATCCCTAGCTTTATTGAAAGGCTGTACACAAGATAATGATACATAAATGAATGAATGATAACGTTAGCTCACTACTGTATGCACACATGTATGCATTGGATTCTGAAAAGCTTATTAGCAAGCCTGAAAGGATGGATGGACGTGTTGCTAATACAGTATTTCATGGTCGCTCAGTCCGTGTTAGGGACAAGACAAACATGTAATGAACAAAACTACTTAATGTGACGTCTTGAACGATCATAATATTGTGAAAATGTAATCTTACCCTGTGTGGGCTTCAAATCCGACCTAAAAGTGGCTAGTTCAGTTGTTGACAGTGTTTGGCCGGCCATGTACAGCATTTGTTCCAGTGGATGATTGATATTCCTCTCCCCCAATCAGAATGGCACAGATCAAAAGTGGGTGGTACTTTTGTCAAATGCTATGCCCATATTAGGAGTGGTGGAATTAACGGACAAGCACGTCGTTGAGGAAGGAGGGAAATAAGGGGGAGTGACCGTTAAACATGGGTGAATTTATGAGGTACTGTACTGTTTAGCTAACTGTTGATGTTTTGTTGTTTGGTTCGAAGTTAGGAGAGGATTTATGGTGTTTGTAAGAGAAAGGCAGTAGTTTAAGTTAACTTTGTTTCAGCCAGAGCGTATACCCACCTAAAATGATCCAGGTGTGTGGACAAACAGTTTGTAGACTTTTGTTTTACTTGTTTTACGACTATTTTGGGTAAATAGTCAAACTGACACATTGTTGTTCACTCAAACAAGAACTTTATACACCGTTCTGTTTCCTTGATAGTTACGCACTTGAGGCCATATTTTCCTATTATTTAAAGGCTACTAATATTCATTTTTCTCAGTGATTTGTTTGTGACTCTAAACAATGTACGGTGGCTGAGAAGGGCAATTGACAATTACAAAGTGTGAAACACTTTAACAAAGCTTGAGACAAATTTACATTTTATAAAACAAATTTACATTTTATAAAACAAAATGACATTAGCGAAACACTTTTACCAAAGAAAAAACAATTTAACATTAACAAAAACAAATTAACAAGATGCGAAACACTTTTACAAAGCTAGAGACAAATTTACATTTTATAAAAACAAAATTAAATGTTATAAAACTAATTTACAAGTGTCGAAACACTTTAACATTTCCCGAAACACTTTAGCAGGGAGGCTGTGGCTCAGTGGGATTGTGTGCTGAACCTTGAATCACGGGTTAGCAAGTTCGAATCCCACTGCAGTCAGCATGTCGTTGTGTCCCTAGGCNACAAAGTGTGAAACACTTTAACAAAGCTTGAGACAAATTTACATTTTATAAAACAAATTTACATTTCATAAAACAAAATGACATTAGCGAAACACTTTTACCCAAGAAAAAACAATTTAACATTAACAAAAACAAATTAACAAGATGCAAAACACTTTTACAAAGCTAGAGACACATTTACATTTTATAAAAACAAAATTAAACTCTATAAAACAAATTTACAAGTGTCGAAACACTTTAACATTTCCCGAAACACTTTAACATTTGCCGAAACACTTTAACAAGTGACGTGCTTGATTGACACAAACTTAAGTTTGTTTTGGCTGATAGACCGCCGGGTACCTATGGACGGTACGAGTGTGTTTATGGTCGTTAAACATGTTTATGGTCGTTAAACATCTTTTGTCCGTTCTGTGGAAACCACCTGGGCCAAGTGACATGATCTTGCTCATCACGATATACTTTCTCGTGCGCACGAGAAAGTTACAGGTTCGCCAAGTAGGAAGTGGAGCTGTGCCTTTTAGACACAGCCTTCGCTGTGTTTAGACAGCTAAAGAGCGACTGTAGGCTGCTTTGTTTTAACCACGCACAACTCTTTACACACACACACCTACACACACATCGAACTGCCCGATTATTACGCCTTATTCTTCGTTTTATGAAGGAGGTGTCCGGTCACCAGGGCGGGCGTGTGTGTGTGTGTGACACTCGCATTGATTTATTTTCAGAAGATATTAAGATACTGTCGTCCGTTCCGGTAATGCGGTCAACTCAGCCGTCTCTCGCGTTTGCTTGTTCAAATCATAGGTTCAAATCAGCAGCTCTTCATTTTTGAGTGCGCAATTGAAGATGGGGTAGGTAAGTTTGAGAAACCGGCTCGAGATACACTTTTTGTTATATTCCATGGAATGCTCTTAACATCCCGATAGCAATGAATATCTTAAGTGCTTTGACAAAAAATACCAGTAAAAAAATAGTCATCTGTGGAAGCCGTAGTACTGTAAAAAGCACGACCAATCATCTGAGCCGGCCGGGCTAAAATAACTGGATGGCCTACCTGCCTGTCAGCCTTCCATCTGTGCACAAACTTATCTCGTGCCCCTATTGGTCATGTGCGCATTCGTGTGTGTTGGAGGAGGGGCTCTGTAAGGAAGTAGCAGATTTTTTCCGGTTGTGTATTTTCAAATTCTAGCGCACTCGAGCTGGTTTCTCCAAAATTACCTACCCCACCTTTAATCACGCCTTTACGGTAATCGCAGAGAAGCGGCACTGACGCTAATACAAGAATAAAATAATGCATGTTTTTTTCTGCTTGATTTGCGATACAAATAATTTGTACCATAAGTTCTTAATAAAATTGGTACTGTTGGACTCAGTACTTGTTAGACTACTACCACAAATACAATGAGGTACTTTTACTGTGTACTTTTTGAGTAATACTCAAACCCCCGTCCTGAGTACAATAATTCATGTATTCTGGTATATTTGATGAGGGATAAAAAAATTGTTTGCAAAAGGTTCTACATGAAATTGATGTTGGACTCAGTACTACTTGGACTAGTTACTAGCACAAGTACAATCAAGTACTTTTACTGTATACTTTTTGATTAATACTCGGTCAAACTCCCCTCCAGAGTACAATAATTCCTGTATTGTATATGAACTATGAATTATTGTACTCAGGACAGGAGTTTAACCAAGTATTACTCAAAAAGTACAGAGTAAAAATACTTGATTATACTTGTGCTAGTAGTCCAAGTAGGCCTACTGAGTCCAACAGTATCAATTTCATGTAGAACTTATGGTAACAAATCATTTTATTCCTCAACAAATATAGCAAAATACATGAATGATTGTGCTCAGGAGGGGAGTTTGAGTTTTACTCAAAAAGTACAACTTTATTGTTGGTAGCAGTCAAACAAGTACTGAGTCCAACAGTGTCAGTTTTATTAAGAACTTATGGTAAAACATATTTTTATCGCAAATATAGCACAAAAAGATGCATTATTTTACTCTTGTACTAGCATCAGTGCCGCTTCTCGGCCAATTACCGTTTAGGTGCGATTAATCGCACACTCACAAATGGAGAGCTGCTGAGTTGACCGCAGTGTTCCCCTGCACTCCGACAGTACTGAGCACTACATCGAGGCTAATATTATTATTATTGTGTGCACGAGAACGTATCTCGTGCGCACAAGAAAGTATATCGTGATGAGCAAAACCATGTCACTTGGCCATGTCGGTTTCCACAGAACGGACAAAACATGTTTAACGGCAATAAACACACTCGTGCCGTCCATAGGTACCGGCAGTCTATCAGCCAAAAACAAACTTAAGTTTGTCAATCACTTGCACGTGCTTGGGCATTCCCATTCCGGTTTGATTCTCTAGTTTGTTAAAGTGTTTAGGCAAATGTTAAAGTGTTTCAACACTTGTAATTTTGTTTTTATAAAAAAGATTTTTTTTTTATAAAATGTAAATTTGTCTCTATTTTTGTAAAAGTGTTTCGCCTCTTGTTAAATTGTTTTTTCTTTGGTAAAAGTGTTTAGCTAATGTACATTTGTTTTAGAAAATAAAAATTTGTTTTAGAAAATATAAATTTGTCTCAAGCTTTGTTAAAGTGTTTCACACTTTGTAATTGTCGATTGCACTTCTCAGCCACCGTACAATGTCCCATAATACAGGATTGGGTTACAGGGATGAACTCCCATATAACAGCAGAAGTAGTTTCCCAACTGTATTTCTGATTACATCTAATACGTTTTGTGTAAACCAGCACCTGTTATGTTAATAGGTCATTTAACCACATGAGGAATTCTAAATCTAATTTGCTAAAATCATATACAGTTTACCATCAGACCCTTAAATGATTCATACAACTACAAGTGTGACAAAACATATTGCCAGTTTAAGACAAAGATGACTTTTCTCATTAGAGCAATCTCATTTAGATTTTATTACTTGATATACTGTACAATTCACACGTCTTCTCTTCAATATGTCTGAGTTTAATGCCATATTCATTTTCCACAATGCTTACTTTATTTAACTCCATGAACCAAAAACTCGCCCCGTCATTAAATTCAAGCACATGTGTTTATGTTGTCATCTAAAGCCATGATTTAAAAGACACATATTATTTAGGAGATGATTTAGGCCGGTTTATTGTTGAATATAACAGAGGTCAATAAACAAGAAAACCTACTTGTCAACCCGATCTTTACGTAGTGGACTGTCGTTATAAATTAAACAATAGTCACAGGGCTCCATCCATTTTAGAGCAGCAAACATTTTCATAAAGAAATTCACCACAGAATCTACTGCCCGGCGTTAAACATCTTCTTCCTGCCATCCATACCAGACATGGCGTCCACGTTCTTACGCCAGTCAGTCACCTCCTCTTTCTGTGGGGTGAAAAAATGATGATTTGAAAGTGAATAAAACAAGTATTTGCAACCATATTGTACAACAGAAATACACACACACCGTGTTGGAGAATACATTTGCTTGTAAATATAAGAATAATAAATAAATTCCTGCATCAAACACTGCAACAGATGATGTACACATGCTTTAATAACGTTGTCACTCTTTCTAATTCTGACCTTTTTTAAGCAAGTTTCACAACTCTATCTTTATATTAAGAATTGGTGTTAATTTGATTTAGATTTTTTATCAAATGTGTCGTTTCTAAAGTCAAAATAAAACCTACAGCCTGGACTACAATCGATGTGTAATGACGAAGTATTATTTCATAGCTTTCTTGCTAAAACTGTTATTTTAGCAAGGAAAATAATATTTGTTATCTATGTGATGTATTTTAAATATAGTTTTAACAGGACAAAAAAACCGAGCCCTGACAGAGTGGACTATTCTCAGTGAATGAAGAGAGAATATAACTTTATTAAGCCCTGAATGAATTTATTTGCCAGATATTGCTCAATAATTACAAAAACATAAGGATAAAAACACAAAAGTGTATAAGAAGTAACACTACCAGTGCATAACAGAATAACAGTACAAGTTACAGATATAGTAATATTGACTATAATAATGAAACAGCAGCCCCTACCTTCTCCTCCTCTTTCTTCACAGTCTTCAGGTTGGCCTTAAAGTCCACGGACTCTTTGACCCTCGAGCCCAGCAGAGCCCCCAGCATGGCGTCAGCTGAGACCCTCACCCTCTTCAGGGCCGGCCTCTTCATCTTGCCCTTCAACTCAAAGATCTTCTGAGACAGGTCCTGTATCTTTTTCCCAAAACAAATGACAGACACACCCTCAAAAATTGGGTACAAACAATGTGTGTGTCTTATACAGTATGCTTGTGACAAAGGATAGAACTCAAGCAGTAATTCACAAAGATGACTTACCTCAATAGTACATTTCGACACTTTAGAATTAACATCGTACCGCTCTTCATCAACCACATCAATCTTCAGGTGCAGCTCTTTACAAAAATTCTGTTGATAGAAGCCTATAAAGTATTACACTCATTTAAGTAACAATTCCCTGAATTTATAACTTGCCCGTATGACTTGATAGAAACACTGATACAGTAACAATGCAAACACAAAGACAGGGCAGCATGTGTATGGGCAGGGATTTGTTCTAAGCATATCACAATAAAAACACTTCTCCAGTACACCACACTTTATTTAATTCTGCAATTTGCAAATGCTCTCAAAATTATTTATAAATCATGCCATAATAATTTATATAAATTGTTGTAGAATGTTTATTTATACATTTATCATTTAACTGAGGACTTGGCCCTTAAAGTGTTGACATTGAGGTCTGAGGATTATTCTGAAAAAAAAAAATATTGTTCTTGGCAGGTGGCATTGCTGTTGAGGTTTTCTTTTAATATAAGTTTAAATGCTTTGAGCTCCAAAAAAAATAACATTCACCTTGATTGTAATTGGGCACCTGCTTGCGGATAGATAACATTAGGGTTCAAGGTTCAAGGTTCTTTATTTGTCATACATAGCTACAGAGTAGTTATGTTGATGAAAATCTTACGTCACAGGCTCCTCCAACAGTGCAACACAATAATACAGATAAACAGACAGATATAGTGCAAGTAAATATTAATAAGTAAATACAAAAAGAAAAATAGTTTAAAAAAATTGAAATAGTGAAATAAGAGTCTATATGCAAGCTATTGGAATGATATATTAGATAAATAGATAAATAATGACTAAGTAGCAGATGAATGTTATGGATGTTGTTTCAGCAGTTCAGTTGTTTAGCAGTCTTATGGCCTGTGGGATGAAACTGTCTCTGAATCTGGTGGTTTTAGTCCGGATGCTGCGGTAACGCCTGCCAGGCATTAGAAGGCGATATGGAAAAAGCGATCTGCTCAAAGTGTTTAGAATTTACTGTTGACTTAGAACCAAACCCCCCCCCCCCC